GACAGCATCATTGTGGTGCAGATTCAATGACGGAAAAAAGATAAAACTAAGTTACGGGGAGTCTACGCGAGGTCGACGACACGAATTTACGTAAGTAGCCATGCGTTTATGTATGTATTCATGTACGTATTCACGTATGCCACTTTATAGACATGCAAATGAACCGTCTCGCTCCTAAGTGCCCACCAATTGCGTTCAGATCTCAAGTCGCATGAAAAGGATGCTTAGGATACTTCTTCTTTCTTTCGATCGCGCTCCACGAACGTATAACGATCTTAATTCTATCGATTACGAAATTCAATCAACCACATCTATCTTACATTTAAATTATTGATAAGCGGAAGGAGTGAATGTTTATTTATTGTAAACAAATGATGTTCGCTTTACAGGATATATATTTCAACGCGTTAAAAGGGCAATTGTGACGAGAATAAGTGGGTGTTTGAATAAGCGCGCGGTGCTCATATAAGGAAAAAATAAACAAGAAATATGATAGAAATGTAATCCAAAGAGCGGATAAAAATTCGTGCGAGAGGAGGATACGAGCGGAGAACACGCGGAGAACAAGACGATGAGGAAGCGGATGAGGAAGAGAAGTTCGCCTTCGCTGCCGCGGAGATCGTTACGGTATACTTAAACTAACGCAGTCGCTCTGCGGACGCGTGGGCGAATTATAATGAGATAAAGTATCTGTATAAACGTTAAAAATATCCCTTTCGCGCGCGCGTATACGTTCAACGCGAATAATAATGTGTAGGATCGACATTGTCCGCGCGAGAACAAAGAAGGATGTACAATGCGCATTAGTATTTCGTTTGCAAAAATTGACAGAGTCAGGTAGAAAAATGTAATAGTATCTCTATATTAACTTTTTAAAGCGCGCTTACTGACATAGTTTTAATAAAGTCAATTTTTCGGGGGAGAGAGACAGGATAAAATTCGTAGCATCAATTTTCACGTTTCCTTCAAACGCGCGGAACAAAATGCGGGATTCCAATTAAAATTAATGTTTCTCGGTGCGATATTATTTTTATCTCTGGGTGCAACTTTTTGACTCCGATACACGTCATACGTCATGGAATATTCGAAACACAAGCTCCGTATATTAATTATGTTTCAATACGATTATTACGAACGATTATATCCGGTTCACTTCTGCGTATGCACATTATCGAAATATGAGCTTATTGAAGTTATATCGGTCTCAACAAGTTGCAGGTTGATCGGAAAGCGGCAGAGGCGGGAATTATGTAGAGAACCATAGTTTACCAGAGCGAACCAATTAACAGGCTAATTAGAGAGATTCCAAATACAAGAGGGCCTCGACGCCGACGCAGAAATCCGTTGACCGCGCAACAGTATAACAATTGGAGTTAGGAGATATATTCTCTCGCTGTAGAGAGAAGCGCACGAAGTGCTTTTATCTCACGCGGAATGACACACCTACGTGTTGCTTCTGTACAGAATATAACTGGAAGTTAAAAGCAGCGACCTACCGCAAAGTCGTATATTATTCCGTAGCGAATTTCTGTCATGTGGCCCTGCGAACGAACAAGCGGGATGAGTGAGGAAAATTGTACGTTGGAAATTATTGTCACCGCAAGAAAGGCGCGAAGAAGTACAACGACCTAAAACTTAGTCATTATATATATATAAAGCACACTTTAAATATTTACTTTATTTTTTCTGTGTTTTATTCGATGAATCAAATGCAGATTATCTTTATTTATGTCTGGATTTTCTTCATATACAGAATTCCGCCAAGATTGATTATAGTTCGGATGGTGGTATTTCTTTGTGGAAAGAAAATGAAAAATATTCCAAAAGCGCGGATATAGAAACGCATGCAATTACGGCGACATGCGCAAGTACGAAAAAACGAGTTCAGGCTTGGCAGGCGTTAATCTTGTATTTCAATCAGTAATTTCCCTCGTCCCGTGGGTTTTCTTTGATCCCCGCGGGATAAATATTAATTAAATAGCTCATGTTAATGTAGCTGTTTGTTACCGTATGCGGGGCCCATCTTTTTTTCGGATTAAGAGTATTCGCACTCACCGTCAGGATGCCATTGTCCTATTTCAAAATATCGGTGATACTCGCACTTTTTAAACTTCCGATCGTGCCAATTTGCGTGCTTATACCAAACGAACAAAAAACGCGCAGTACAAAATGCGGGATTCCAATTAAATTTAATCCTTCTCGATTCGATATTTTTATCTCTAGGTGCAACTTTGTCTCTGACATCACGGAATATTCGAGACTCAAGCTCCGCGTATTAATTTTATTTCAATATACGAATATAAGAATCTCACAAATACATAAAAACAGAAAAAAATATTAATTATATTTATACTTGTATATTAAAATTAATAATTTAACAGATAAATATAACAGAAAAAATAGTGTAATGGTAAAATGAAATCAAAGAAAGTAAAATACAAAATAGCATTATATTATGATCATCATACATTATTATAATTTTTTATCTGGATGCTTTAATATCGAAATATTTGAATTTCCCAAATTGAAATATTTATATATTCATATTAAATATTAATATCGATTGAATTCCAGATTAGATTATTATTAATCCACTCGAGCATAACGATAAAAAATTTAAATGAAATCGGCACTGACGATAAAACGAAATTTATGCATCACGTTTAATGTCAGTATCAAAATAAGTCGAGCATTAGCAAAAGCTTGAAAAAGACGCGGGGGTGTAAAAAGTGCCTTATGCGCCAAGAGCTTTATGCGACAAATCAAAGTTGAAGGACGTGACATTTTCGCGAAAGTTACGTGTCTCATACAATCCAAAATGCACAATTGTTCACAATTCGGGTCAAGTGTATGCACCCGAAATATATATGTATATTTTTTCTCGGCCTGCTATTGTGGTTTTCACAGAAATCAGGGTAATGTTCACGTTTCCGCCGGAAATTCTACGAAGAAAACATACCGGCGCGTTGTCCTGCAATGACTCAAGAAGAAAGCTTTCTGGGACAACAGTGACAAATTCTTTTCCTCGTTACGAGAGAGAAATGTTAGTGCGGAAACTGAATTAAATGGAGCGGAAATATTCATAGCTTCTTATTTTTAAGTTCATCTGCGATAATCGATGATAAAAACTTTTAAAAGGAAAACACAAATATTAACGGAGAAGCATACAAACATGTTCATATTTTATATTATTCGTAAAAGCGGAGTATTATGGCAAAGAGAAAATTCATAATTTCATTCCATTCGGAGATTCGATCTGTTTAATCAATAAATAATCTTTGAAAACAAATAATTGCTTCTTTGAATACGCTCTTCGCGAATAGATAGCGTAGGTCGTAAAATCCATTATATCCTACGTGCATTCTTCAGTACGCATATTCCGTTTAAACGGTTTATTATGACAAATCAAATTCTCTTAAGCGAGTTTATTGAATGTACGAACAACACGGTCGTATATCCATCGCCAATCGAGTCCGATAAATCGTGGCATTGGAGTGGGTCATGGTCCAGCGGATATGTTATTGTTTTCGTATATTGCATTTAACGGCGGACTGGCGCCAAAGATAATTTCTGCCCCCAGTGGGCGTTCACAAGCATGTATAGACAACCGTCATACGTAGGTATAATAAAACTATCCTTCGAACAAGGTTTATCTTCAATGTTATGCAAGCCCAAAGACTATCGGTTAGACCTGGCCGTATTTAAGCTGCTATGCTTGAGAGCCACAATTTATATAAAAAAAATGTTATGCAAGCGTCGAAAACGCGGATGAATCACGTGGCGTAATGACCGCGCGTCAAAGTTTTAAAAGGAAAAGTTGCGTGATGCAGTGAAAACAGAATCGAGAATTTCGTTTCCGCACCGTCCTAGAACACCATAATAACAATATATAATTATAAGTGCAATAACGAAATAAATAATATAAGTATACTCATAATGCATATTCGTACAAGTAAATTTTAACTTCCTCTGTAATTACCTCACGTTTAATATTATTTTATGGTACCATATGGCACTTATTACTACTTTGTGTTAAACTTTCTCGTTAAACTTTCTTGAAGGAATACAATTATTCGTCATCCTCAACGTGCATATGTTAT